GGCCGGCGGCGGAGGCGGCGGAGGCGGAGAAGTCGAGGGAGGTCTGTGGTCGGTCTGAGCTGACTCCGTAAATAACTGCATCAGCATTGTTTTATCACAATTTCTGAAGTAGTTTATGTGATTTTTAATGATAATGATGCGGCGGATGATGGGTAGGAGAAAGAGCATGTGGCTCTTAATGTTGTGTTTTCAAGTGTATATTTCATGTTGATTTGTTCATGTAGTTCTTGGTCTCCCATTTGGACGAGAACAAAGGATTTGCATCAGTCCGCTCTCATGAACCTTCACCGCTAACAGGCTGTTTTCATTAGCGTCCAGTAAATGCCACCTACATGAACATGTAGGCTGTGGTCTTGTTGAAGCTTTACTTCTTGTGTGTTCTGGAATAATCAACTTGATGTGCATCAACCTTCTTCATATGTATAGTCTTAATTTCTCTCTTTTATCCGGTTCGCTTTTAGTCCACACTTCCTCAGATGTTTTGAGAAGGCGAAAGGACTAAAAAGCCAATGTGATATAGTCCCACTTTTCATTTCCTTTCTCGTCAACTTGAAAATAGAAAATGAAACCATTCTCGAATATTCGCTCTCCTCTTCATTTGTTATTCCAGAGCACGGCTTCTAAGGTCGTGGCTCATTAAGGGGCTTTGCTTCCCGATCCATGGATGAGGGCATGTGTTGATTAAGGTTGTGAAATGAGTGGTTTTGGTTGGGTTTTGGGTGAGTTATAAATGGTTGGGTTTTATGAAGTTTTGAAATTTTAAGAGTGTTTTTTTTTTTTTACAAATTTTTAAACTTTGGGTGTATTTTTGTAAATTTTAAATTTACAAGGGACGTTAAAGATTTCTAAATTTCATATGTCATTTATAGGTTTAGAAAATTATGAGAGTTTTATATAATTTTGAATTCTTGAGGGTTTTTTTTTTTGCAATTTTTAAACTTTAAGGGTGTTTTTTTTATAAATTTATAGGGGATTGCTAGTAATTTTTAGATTTCATGTGTCATTTGCAGGTTTTGAAATTTCAGGGTGGGTTTTATAATTCTAAACCCTTGAGTGTGTTTTTAGCAACTTTTAAAACTTTGAGGGTGTTATTTACAATTTGATATTTATAGGGGACTACTGAAAATTCTTAGATTTCACGTGTCATTTGCAAGTTTAGAAAATTCTAAGATTGTTTTGTAATTTTAAACTCTTGGGGGTGTTTTTTTACAATTTTTTAAACTTTGAGGGTGATTTTTGCAAAATATAAATTTATAGGGGGCTGGTGGTAATTTTGGGAATTAATGTGTCATTTTGTAGGTTTTAAATTTTCGGGGTGGTTTTGTAATTCTAAACCATGGAGGGTGTTTTTCATAAAATTTAAAACTTTGAGGGTGTTATTTGCAAATTTTAAATTTATAGGGGACTGTTAAAAATTTCCAGATTTCATTTGTCATTGCAAATTTAGAAAATTCTAAGATTGTTTGATAATTTTAAACTATTGAAGGTGTTTTTCTCATTTTCAAAAATTTTAAAGGTGTTTGTTGTAAATTATAATTTTTAGGGGGCTTCTAGTAATTTTTGAATTTCATGTCATTTGTGAGGTTAGAAAGTTTTTGAGAGTTTTTTGTAATTCTTAACTCTTGATTGTGTTTTATAATATTTTAAACTTTGATGGTGTTTTTTTACAAATCTTAAGATTTTAAGGGGTTGTTGGTAATTTTAAGTGTTTTCTATAATTTTGAACTTTTAAAAATATGTTTTGTAATTATTGAAACGTTGAGGGTGTTTATAAAACAATACTCATCTAAATGGGCAAATGGGTGGGTAATAGCCCGTCCATATATGACTCATTTATCTTTAATAGAAACTATACTCACTCATTTATGACTCATTTAACTAAATGAGTGTGTTTGGATGGTTCATTTGACGGGTGGATATGATGAGTGTGCAAATGATTTTGGGTCAATTTTGTCATCCCTACTGATGATACAGGAAAAATAATGTAGTTGTTGCTTACCTCGCAAGCTTGATATGACAAGATCTTGACAGGAGAACCTGGATGTGTTGAATGTGGGCAAGTACAAGTGTGTTGTACTGATGGTGAAGGGAATGAGAGACTTCTGGAGAGCTTAACGTGGGTTAATGACTATTGATCGAATGTGTGTTTAAGATCCATAAAAGTGAACATACTTCAGAGCATGTTTGGCAATATTATTCTACTTATAAGTGTCCTTATGGTATGTCAAGAATATGTTTTGTAAAAGTTTACTTATTATTTAAAAATAAGTTATAAATAGGAAAAAATAAGTTGGGATCCTCCAACTAAACTTAGTGGTTGACTACTCATCAGTTGATTTGTTATCTATTAATGCTACAGAACTATGTAACCCTCTAGCAAAATAAGTAAAAATTTATAAATATAAGTCACTTATAGGAAATCATAATATAAGTAGTAGCCAAACAAGCCCTAAGGACAATAGCGTGACAGAGGTGAGCGTTGGATGCTTGACCTTTATGACCCGAATGCTCTTGGATCGAAAGATTATGTCCTAAAAAATCATAAATATTTTGATTAAAGAAAATACTCCAAACTTTCCATACTTGCAGAAAATACCATATGTCATTAGAAAACCATCCTTAAATAAAGGTTAACATCGTTGGTAAGAAGTCTAAGATACCTTCAATAGTTCAATAGTTAATAAGTGATGGGAGGAGGGAGTGATGTAAAATAAAAAAGGAGCAATGATATATAAATACGTCACATGCTAACTAATGCTTATGACTGTTAGTCACGACAGTATCATTTGGCAACATACTACATGAGGGGTAAAGGAGAGTGAACCCCTCCTTAACCCGCCAAAATAATCTGGCAAGTTCGTTAGAGGATTTACTAATACCTCTATTTAGACAGATTAAGATAACTCCTATATTTATAATATAGTAGTCACAACGCTCATTATTTTAAAACACTAAAAATGATCAGATACATTAAAATAAATCTTATCTGTCGAGTTAGCAAATGAGCTAACTATTTTAATACTTTGCCCTAATATCTCTTTTTTAAACCTTTGTCAAATGAGACTTGATGATTTACTAAAAAATTTTATGATATTTTCCCCTGATGATACTTTTTGGTTAAGTGCCTGTTTGGATTGGGGTTAATGGGAGGTAGGGGAAAATAGGAGACTTATTAATCTTGTTTGAGAACTCATTTGTGATAGATGATGAGAGGGAAGGTAAGGTAACTACAGTGAGAAATTTTAAGATTTTTTTTTCCTCCAAATTGAGCAAGGGAAAATTAAGGCAACTATAACACAGATAATTTTACTCTTCTATTGAAAAAAAGAGTATTACACATGTAAGGATATTTATTAAATTTACATATATTTCTTTCTATTTCCTTCACTTTATTAAATTTCCCAAACATAGTGAAATAAGTTCCCTCAGTTACCCTTAATGGATTTCCAAACATGGTTTATATATTATCTTAACTTTTCTTAACTTGTATCGTCTTTGTGTTCAATTAGCTTCTCTTTGCTAGGGGCAAATCTATACAGGCCTTAAAAAACAAAAGACAATTTCAAGGCGTCACGCCCAGGAAAGCGTTTGGCCCATTGGCATTAGTGGTCACACTTCCAAAACAGCCCCCAAGCCCATGAAAGATGCGAGCAAAGTAATCTTCTACCAAAGCTTGGGCCCAAGAAAGGCCTTTAACATGTTTGGAAACAGAATCACCAAAGATACAGTCCAGGCCCGGGCCCACCTGAGCGTATCCAGCGGATCGGCGTGCCAATGGATTTGGAATTTGTTGTTGTTAGAAGAATACATAGGGTTATGCAGAGCTGTTTTAATTTAGAAGATAAAAAATACTTCCTTTACAAAACAGCGCCATTTCTAATATAATAAGAAGATAAAAAATAAAAATAAAAATAAAATGTAAAATATAAAAAGTACAGCCGTCATTTAAAAGCTCGTCGTTGCTTTTGCGCTTCAGTTTCTAATTGCAGGGAGGGGGTGAGAGAGAGAGAGAGAGAGAGGGAGGGAGAGAGAGAAGGGAGAAAGACAAAGAACAAACCTTTCCGTTTCTGTCCCCTTCCTCCAATCTCTATTCCACCTGTCCTCGTTCTTTCTCTCTGTGCGTCTCTCATGTTTCGTGAATTTCGAGGCGCAAACACCATTAAAACAGAGAGGCACGAAGAAAGAGAGGACCCAAGTATTCTCACAGTCTCTCTCAGCAGCCACCCCCGCCGCCAGGTCCGAAGATTTCTCTGGTTGCCCGTTTCGGGTCAGTTTCCAGCTCACGAAGTTGCTAAATCTGGTCATTTTTTTCTTGTAATCTTGAGAAATTGGAGGAACCCATTTTGATTTGATCGAAGCCCATTTGTAGTTTCTCAATTTTCAGCGCATTACTCGAGAATTGGAGTGCATGCACGTTGGAGGTAAGCGCTGTTGATGGGGAGCAGTGAGCCGGTGCTTGTCCCTGAGTGGTACAGAGCAGGAAAAGGGGGTAAAGCTCCCAATGCCAGTTCGGGTAATCGAATTATTGCTCCTTTTGGATTCTTTTTTTTGGGTTTTTTTTTTTTTGTTGCCCGTTTGTGTAGTTTGGATTAAGAATTGGGTTTTGTATTGGTTTATATGACAATTGCGTTGGATCTTCAGCAAGAAACAGACTTCTCTTGATTCCTGTTGAACAAGATTCTAAAAGAAGTCTCAGTAGGGAGGGCGATTTCGGTAGGAGAGGTAGAATGGAAAATGTGGATAGCCGTGCTAGAGCTCGTGATGGGGATAGAGATGGAGGTAGAGATCAAGATAGAGGTGGAGATAGAAACAGAGAGAGGAGAAATTCATCTGGATTTAATGTGGAGGGATCAGTGATTCAGGCATCATCACGAGTTCAGACCGCTACTCTGGTTACTTCATAATGTTTTTGCATTATTTGATAAGTTTTTTATGTGCATGGCATTTGCAATCATTTTGCTTATTTTCTTTGTCATTGCAGTCGTCAAGACAACGCAAGCGACTTGTGCCGGTGGTGCCTTCATTGCCTAAATCTTCTGTAGGTTCTTTAACTTTTATTTTAATCTTGGTATGTTCATCTACACTTTCCCGTTAGTGATAAAGCTAGTGAGATTCAGCCTGCATTTAGATCCTGATTGTATATTATTACGAACATTTTGTCTTGGTGGAAAATTGGTAACTGCTCCTTAATGGCTTTCGTGGTTCCTTTGTCAAGAATCAGAGCACTAAGTTTTTGACGTGTTCAACCAGTAGATCTCATGATTTTTTTTTTTTTTTTTGATTCTGGGATTGTGCTGTGCGTCATTTAATATTTCATCATGCTGTCTGGATACTATCATTAATTATCTTATTATGAAGGGCAGTACTAATTTATGTGTAGCCTATTTTTTAGTTGGATGATTGTAATCTATCATATAGGCTGCATTTTGATGTTGAAAAATTATAATTCCTTTTTTTCAGTCATCATGGTTTGAAGATTACAATTCAAGGTCATGATTTAAGTAAGAGTCCAGATATTTTATCTACTCGAACATTATTTGCTCAAGAATAGCTTAGCTTGATGTTGATAATTTTTCAAACTGAGTCAAACCTATGAGTTAGCCGAACCAAACCATTAAAAGTCAGTTGGTTCGGTCGGTTTCTTTGCTTGAAACCGAATTATGCTTACCCCTAATCATTATATGAGCTAAGAATATCTGCTATTAATGTGACAGCATCACTAGGTTAAACCTGTTATTATATCCATAAAACATACAGTTAATTTGCTGAATTAATTTATAAGAGCTCGATGACAGTATTTTGAATCTGTTGATGGTGCATTCAGAATTATTATGATTTTGTGCAGAACTTTAATTAGGTTGAAGAATATCTATTCATAGTGAAAGGTAATTGAATGTCATGAGTATAATCTGCATATGTGGTTACTACTTATGTTGATATTGTTAGATCAATTCCTTATAAAACATTATCTAAAGTCTAAACACTCTGCTTCTTCTAGAAGCTTATGCCTGCTCATTGGCAGTAGAACGAAGTCCATTAGGAAACAACCCTGTTCTAGCACTCGGGCTGTGGAGTTCCCAGACCTGCAAAAGTTGTTTGTGTTGATGCGCACACTACGATTCAAGGCTTAAAACTAATTCAGGATTTATTGTCGAATCTGTGCTACCTGTGGAGTTATGATCCTAATTTTAGCAAAAATGTTATTTTAGTAATATTTATCTTTTAATGTTCAAAGGTGCTAGAATGCATGACATCCTTCGCAAATTGAGGCATGCAATTGGTAAACTTTTATTAAAAATCTTTGAAAAATATCGAGTATACAATTATACATGTCTATAATTATTCACTCAATGAAATAATAAATGAATGATACGAGATGATGTCAAATTTTCACTATATTGAGATGTAACAATGACGAGTTAGATAGGCGCGCGCGCACACATCCAAGCAATTATTGTACAATTATAGAGTAAAACTTCCTAATAAAAGGTTAACAAACAATACCTTTCTAAACAGAACTTAAATAATCATCTATTTTTTTTAATGGTTTGTTCACTACAAGAAATATGAATTTGAGAAAATAGAAGAGACCAATTCTTTAACCTATTAGAAGAAAGTATTAGAAGAAATTATTTGGTAGCGTACACACTCTAATTTCCCTAGAGGCCTATGTATCCGAGTCTAAGTGCTTCGGCAAGAGGTTCATACGATGTCTGTGAATATCCTCGGGGACCTGGATAACTCAACGAGCTTAATGGCTACAGTTGGCTGGGAACATCCTCACGTGGGGTGAATAAAGCTCAATACCAATGGTGCTGTAAAGGCAGGTCCATCATGCAAGGTCTAGCAGGGTGAGAGACTTTCTTCGGGGTGATAAAGGGCTTGGGTTATTGGCTTCACGGGTTGTTTGGGTGCTACTAATATTCTTAACTCGGAATTGTTGGCTATTCTTTATAGGCTTGGTTTAGCTTGAGATCAGCATTGTCCGCGGATTGTATTAGAAATAGACTCTTAAGGAGGTGATTGATGTTATCTAGAATGCTACAAATGATGATCCTAACTTATATCATCACTAGGCTCAGGGAGTTTCTGAAAAAGTCATCGCATGCTCAGATGCTACACATGTACAGAGAAGCGAATCAAGTGGCGGACTTTCTTGCAAAGTTGGGGATCAATTCGGATCTTGGTTGTGTAGTTCTTGAGGAGACACCGTACCAGATTTGCCAGTTCAAGATCAGGACACTTCAGGCAAGAAATGACCTTGGAAGGTGCCGTCTGATGGTGGTTATTTTTGAACTTTAGTTTATTTTGCTTAAGGGGTTTCCCCTTTGTTGTTCTACCAAAAAAAAGAAAAGATGATAGTAAGGCAATGGAAATAGAGTGTAAAGAGCCCCCTATCTGCGTGAGAGTGTACGCAAAGAATAAGAGATAATACAGGCTTGAGAGAGAGGGATAAATTAAAGGACAACGATACTTTAAAAGAAAGTTGATGGTTACAGGAGGTCAATGCATGCCAGAGGTTAGAGGTTGGCATTAAGGCTGGTTCTCTTTTCACCCGAACCCCCTTTTTACTTGTACTCATAAATATAACTATTCTTCTCCCTTTACTAAGGTTATTTTAAACAATATTTTAAAAAGAAACTGAGCGCCTGCCAAAGCGGCCGCTTAAACCTAAGTGGTGCCTAGGCTGCCTACTTAAGTCTTGGGAGCTCATATGACAGCATGGCCATACACGGATTTATTGCGTCAAAAAAGGAGTATATTGCTCGTGTAAGCATAGCAATGGGAGAGAATGTTGTGTTTTAATGGATCGGATTAAAACTCGATTTTTGGTCCATTTCAAATAAAACTATGTATAAAATTTTGAAAATCCTTCCTATCTCATCGATGCTAAAAAAATGTCTACATGCCACTTATGTGCTCGCCTAGCCCCGTAGCCACCTGCATTGGGTGTTTGGTCCAATGCTCAAAAGCACCCATCACTTTATAAAACATTGACCTTATTTTGGACACTAAGGCAACAAAGGTGTGCAAGAGGGAGGGTTGATCGCTCCGATCCATTAGTCGAGTAGTTGGGTGTGGAGCCTAAAGTGGGTGGGTGTCTCAGTCTTAACACCTTGCCTCGTGCAAGCACCAGCCCTCAGGGGTGCTTGTAAAACAACTTAAGAGAGTTGAGGTATAATTTAGAAATACGAAGAGTTAGTGTCTATTACACAACTAAAGAAGATTTGGTTAGTCTACTATGACAAAAACCCTATTTTTCTTAAGGACGCAAAAGCACTTAAGGAATCTGCTTAAAAAGACATCCCTCTGGATTCCTCATTCGCAGGTATGCAATAACAGAAGTGTATGCAAATAAACTTGGATACAAAAAGAGAGTGCATGGCTGCATTTCCCTTTGCTTTTAGTGTCTGTTGCGAAATCTCTATAATATCTTGTGTGTCATATGAAAAGTGAGGGCTGATGAGGCGGACCGTCTTTCATTTAATGTATAGCTTCCAAGGGTTACTCTACATTTATTTGGTGGAATTCCTTCCAAAAAGAACAATAAAGTAACAAGATAATAAAATTTACATCAGAATAATTACGATAAAGTGATTTCTCAATCAGTGATAACTAAACTAGATGGAAAAAGTTAAATGATGCATGAAATGCTCCTTCAACAGAACGATCTGGTCTCCACTGAGGTTCTGTTGGCTTGCATTAAGGTTCCTCTTATTGGCTTAAATGTAAATGAGTCTACAGCTGAGAGAATCTTGTGTTAAAGCCGCAGTGGTTGACGCGAGAGTTGCTCTTCTTCATGCTTGTTATGCAACATTTTGATCTTTTCCTGGATATCTGAAACTGTCGGAATTAAGTATCAATTACTTGTTATTTCTTTGCTCAAAAGAGCTTTTTGTAGGAAAAAGACACTCTGCGGGAGCATATAAGTAGCATCACACTCCTTTGTCCTATTTGCATTTCACGAAATTTTTGTTTGTGATGCATGATACAAGCTGCAATATTTTGTTGGGAAAATGTTGTTAGTTTGAGATAATTGTGTGTAGCAAAACAATAAGTGTAATTGCCAACTTTGTGAACAATGGTATGCTCGTCATCTGGCTCACCACGATCCAAATTAGGCAATTAATGGCTTTGCAATAAGTGATATGTTTCACCAAGGGGATATAATTTCTACATTTGATAGGATTGGGAAGCATCATCTTGAGATCAAAGGGAGTTCTCTTACGAGAATACGGTTGTTAAAGGTGATAAGAAAGTTTTTAAAGTTTAATAAGGGGTACCATTCTATATTTTTCGAAGATGAGCTTTTTAAATTGCTTGTGAGTATGACACCAATTATGCTGCTGCCTTCTTTCTTTCGTATTTGCCAACTGAGGAATCTTCCTTTTGTGTCCTTTCACAATCTCCCTTCTTTCTCTACCAATTGTTTCAGTTTGTAGAAACCTTGTAACTTTATTATAACTTGACAACATTTGGACTAGATACCTAGTTTTTTATAAGGGTAGATTACTACTTCAACGGCACATGATAAGGAATTGGCTGGAATGTCATATAAGATTTTTGTCAAGAAGAAACTAGCATTGTAGGTGTTTAGTGGTTCAAGTCCTCAGTCCTTGAATATGTGTAGGCTTAATGAGAAAGTATACATTTTTTATTATTGCTCATTGCATTGTCGATCCTAGTAGTCCAGGAGATACCATTTGGTCATGTCATGCACATGTTTGCTATACACAATTGTTTTTGCTTGTTTTATGCTGTATCCTTATCTTAGTGTTTTAGCACTAATCATATCGGGGCTCATGACGTGCCATTCCTCTGTCCTATATAATAAATGAATAGTATAGCTTCTAGGCATGCATTAGTATCTTATTTTTCCTATTAGAAGTCACGATTTACTATATACTGAATGCATGCCCAGTTGCCCAGAGTAGATCTGATTTTTCTTTGGTTTAGAACAGTAATTTATTTAATCATGATATGCAATCTGTCAAAAAGAATGTTTTAAGAATTACATTTATAAATTAAAATTTTACCTGTCAGTGCATAATGGTTAGACTTGCCAGAGTAAACAGTAGATCAAGTCTGTTATTGAAACACGAGTTTTCATATAATCCTCCAGAAAATAAGGATATAAACAAATGCAATAATCCAATGACATTCCTGTTGTGCTATTTTCTTTGATAAGTATGGTATCCATCATCCATCTAAATACAATATGGAGATAAATAAAGTGAGAGTGGTTAACTTTCTGTTTTGACGTTAATACAAATGTCAGTAGCGTGTAACCGTATGAATATGCTAAACTGGGGTTGACCGCATCTTAACGTGGATAGTTGGCTTCTGTAGACGATTGCCAAAACTTTGTTGCTAGTTGTCGTTTATCTTGTTTTAACCTTTAGTGAGTTGTTGAATAGTTACTACTGTTGCTCCTGAAACGGGAGCCAACATCATTCACCTACTCAAGCGAGGTAGATGAAGAAACTAATTCTTATCATTAAATGATCATATGTGCTTTTTAATGTATAGAGACTAATTTTCAAGTCACATTCCCAATTTCTCGAACAGTTTCTTTTTTCAAGTCATGTTCTCCATCAAACAATTTCACTAGGCATTAGGGAATAAGTATAGAGTTAAAATTCCAAATCCTGCTTGCGCCAGGCCATGGGTTATTTCCCTCTGTTTTGAACATGCACATCACACATTTACCACTTTCTAACACTTTCTTATGAATACACCTCATTTCATGAATTATATTGTGATTGTTTAGGCTCTGCTTTTTAAAAGTTTCAGAAGGAGTGTGATATGAAGATAGATCAAATTTATTAGGCCAATTAAGTAGGTAAATCATTTGTAGAAAACCAAATATTTCCTATCGTCATGCTGCATTTCATTGCAGCATTTTTCCACTTCATGAATTGTAACTAATATATCATGCTTTTCGGTTTCAGTTTGGAGTCTGAAGTCTTAGACACTGGGACATCCTCTTTTTAGGAAGATGTTTCATTATTGTTTTGCTGTATATGTTCTTTCTGTTTATCACATGCTACCTTTTGAAGGAAAATACATGTTTCGTGTATCCTGCATGTTTCATATCCCCTGCAATTGATTGTGGATCAATTGTTACATGAAAAGTAACGATTATGATCAAAATCTGCACTGAGAAACTTTCATTTCAAACTGAAAATTTTCAATATTTATTGCCAACAATTCATCATCTTTTTGATGTTACAATAATGGCAAATTGGTCATGATCGAGATAATTGTTATTTTTGGTGAGAGAAATCTGATAGGTTGATATTGCATTTACTTTTCAGAGTTCCAACTCTTCAGAGAACTCTAAATCCAGAGGAGCACCGAGGAGTGGAGATTTCAGTGGTCCACACAAGAATAGTCAGAAGTCGTTATCTCAGTTAACTGTTGTCAACAACGCGCTCCATGTATCTGCTGCTAAGTCTGACATTCTCAAGGAATCTCAATTTGGGAATCTTCAAGTCCTATCTCGAGAGAGAACTGGGCCTATCTCTATCGCTGTCCAGGATGCTGGTCTGAGGAGCTCTGTTAATTCAAACCTTAAGGCTGAAGCCAAGGATACCAGTTCAAGTTCCATTGAGAAGAGATTCACCTCCAAAGCTCAGAATCGTAATGCGTTCTTCAACTCCCTCAGGAAAAAAACATCAGTCAATCATTCAAATGCTTCCGCTGTTCCCGAGCCAAGCTGCTGTGATACTACGGAGAAGCCATTGTCATTGGAGATGCACGCTACAATTTGTGGTTCTGTGATAAATGAGGAAGAGAAGAACACTGATGAATCAGTGGTTAGTTCTGGTGATAGTGTTGATGCTACGTATGTATTTGAATCTCAATCTCCAGAGGACAATGGAGAAAATGAACGGTCGTTGTGCGGTTCTAATTGTAACTGTGATACTGTTGTTGACCCGGACGAGCAAGAGAAAGCATTTCTTCTATCTCTTGGATGGAAGGAAGACGCAGAGGAAGAAGCTCTAACAGAGGAAGAGATTGCTGCTTTCATCAAACAGGTACGTGCGTGTGTGTGTGTTTATTTATTTATATTCTCAATCTTTTAGGGTAAATTTAACAAAACCTTCTTAACTTTGTGGTGTTTTGACCAATGTTTAAAAAATCAAAAGCGCAAGGCGAAGCACTAGACCCTCTGATGAAGCGAGTCATAAGCTTCAAAGCATGAGGCGTAAGCTTCATAAGTTTGAGTATTTTAATTTTAAATTTGTAAAAATTATGAAAGTATAATATATAGTGGTATAATAATTTACAAATATATACATTCATGGTCTTAATTAGTAAATAAGAATCAAATATGTAAGTATAGAAACAAATCATAATAAACTAAGCTCCATGCATAACATATATGCTTTATTTACACTCACGTTGTCATATTGAAAATACATAAGGACATTCTAATGTTAGTCAAAAATCCTTTTATATCCTCCTATCTTATCTAAAGCGTGTGCTTCAAAAGAAAAGCGTTTTATGAAGCGCAAAGTGCACACTTCAATTATGCTTTAAGCGATGAGACGGAAGCTTCAAGGGATAAATAGCTTCACTCTTGAGGCTCGAAAAGTTGTATCAGAGAAATTGGTTTTGACACAACCTCCCTGAATTTTATTTATCAGAGAAAACACCACTAAACTTTTAAACTTATACAAATCCTCATGAACTATTGGAAATTGTCGTATAAGGTATTACTGTGAAGGATAAAAAGTCTAAACTACACTTGTTATTATCCACCTACCCTCACATGAAAAACTCTCTTTTAGGAGAAGTAAAAAAGTATATAAGGTCAAAATTGTCCAAAACATGTCACGTGTAATGCACGTGACAACTTATAACTATCGCCAGGCTACATGGTAGCCAGGTGAGACCAGTTTAGGGGTTTTCTCTAAGTTATAAAGTGTAAGACACCCCAAAGCTCAGGGGGTCTTGTGAAATTTACCCAATCTTTTACAAGTCCACACCCCCCTCCCCCCCAAACCAATAAAAGAAGGGATGTTCTCGTGCTGACCATGCTTTTATTTTCTGTTTGGCCTCCAAATTTACTTTCAGTATCCGCAGTTCTCCAAACGCTTTTAAGCTGTTTTTTGCTGAGGCGCTATTTCAAGGATGAGAAGTCATTGTGTTATCAGACATGGTGAATGTTTTCTGTGGAGGTAAGTTCAAAGTGTCGATATTGTCTATAGAAAGAAACAAAGGAGGGAAGTTGGTGGTTTTGAGAGGCTGTGATGTTAAGACAGTGAGTGAACCAACTTTTGTCCAATGTTGTTACCGAACAGTAGATAAAGTTACAATGTAAGATAACCAAGCTTTAGCTGGAAGGCGCTGAAGAGCCAATCTTTTTGTTTCTTTCATTCCCAAATTCGGTGGGAGAGTTACGCAGGTAGTTTGGAATAAGAAAACAAGGATGGATCGGTCATTTTTATCTCTCTGTTATGCTCA